CCAGATGCAACAATAACACAAAGTCACAATGTAACTGTATCACAGTCTCTGATGTTTGGTATACTGTATACAATACACAGAATGCAGCAAAATATCATATACAATATAGGATGTCATAATAAAATACAGTATAACAATGTGTGTGTGTCCACTGCTTGGAAAACGCAATACATAAATATTATACACAATGCAGGAAATAATCATTATACAATGTAACTGTTTCAGTCTTTTGTTTTGGAATGTACAATACATAGGACACGGTAACATTTAACAACATGTCTGTGTCTGCTGGTTGGAACAACAATATGTAATAATTACACACAATGCAGAATATAATAATATTACAATAATGTAACTTTTTAAGTCTCTTATGTTTGGAATATAGAACACACAGGGTGCAGTAATCATACAATATACAATGCAGGACATATTCGTTATACATTGTCACTTTCAGTCTCCGGGGGTTTGGAATGTAGAATACACAGGATACAGTAATCATATAATATACAAAGCAGGATATAATAATAATAATAATGTCACAATACAATGTACCTCTATCAGTTCCTGTCTGTCGCAGTCTATTCTCCTTCTAGATCATACCGAGCCTGAGTGTCCCAGAATCCTGTGTGTCTTCTACCCACAATCCTCTGCTGTGTGACATGCTATCCTCTGGGAGGGGGGTCAGTGTCTGCTCGCCCTTCCCTCACTCACCAGCTGTGTCTATATAAAGCTGTATACTGTGAGTATTGTCTGCAGCTTGTCACTGACACGGGGACGATTGTAAGATCTCATGAGCACCGCGCTCCCAACCTCTTCTATTGCATTGGATTGTAACTGCACTGTCGCCTTTTATACTGTATAGATACTGCATAGCACGGCACTGTTGGAGCTATAAGCCATGAATAATAATAATAATAGTAATATTATTACTAACAACAACAGTAGAAATAATAGTAATAATAATAATATTATTATTATTAACAAGAACAGTAATAATAACAATAGTAATGATGACATTATTAATAATAACAATGATGATATTGATAACAATAATAATAACAACAACAATAATAATAATAACAATAATAACGATGATGATGACAATAATAACAATGGTCATAATAATAATACTAATAACGATGATGATGATAGTAATAATACTTATAACAATGATGATGATGATAATAATAATAATAATAATAACGATAATGATGATGATAATAACAATGATAATAATACCGATGATGATGATGATAATAATAATAATGATAATGATGATGATAATAATAACAATGATAATGATAATAATAATAATAATAATAACGATGATGATGATAATAATAACAATGATAATGATAATAATAACGATGATGATGATGATGATAATAATGATGATGATGATGACAATAATAATAATAACGATGATGATGATGATAATAACAATGATAATAATAATAATAACAATGATGATGATAATAATAATAACGATGATGATGATAATAATAATAACAATGATGATAATAATAACGATGATGATGATAATAATAATAACGATGATAACAATAATAACGATGATGATAATAATAATAATAACAATGATGATAATAATAATAATAATAATAATAATAGCAGGGTGATGTTAAGTGCTGGTCATAGACAGTAGCAGGAGAGGGAAATTATAGACGATACCTTTCATTGGCCAACTCCATAGACTTTGTAGTACTAACTTTTCTGAGTGCTGAGTTCTTACTCATCAGGCACAATGCCAGAACAATAATGTCATTATATATAATTAAGGAAAGTGGGAATCAGGAAGCAACAGGTTAAAGTCCTTCAATGTATGAGAAATATTCTGATAACTGGTGTGATGTGGTTAATACATGTAATAATAGTATTCAGAATAATAATTCTTTTTGATATACTTTACATGCTTTTATTTATATTTTTCTCCACACTTAGTGGCATCCAAGCCAAGCTGTCCGCTGAAAGTAACAGTTACACACCATACAACACTGTCGGGGTGCTTACACCTCCTATTTATATGGCTTAAAAGCTAAGTTCATCATATTTCGTGTTACACCCATATTGCAGGAGTAACATGGTCACACCAGCGCCACCCCCTGCCATGCCCCCCCCTCTCCCCCACTACCCGAATCACAGGGTTCTTCTCCCCACTGACAGCTGCCATATTTTGAATTCAGCTCGGATGTGCATGGCTCCGTCCACACAGCCATGCTGAAGGATCTGTGAATGGACAAATGATAAATTCCATCAGCCACTGCAGCAGAGGGAGTTTTAGCTCACAATAGAATATGAGTAACGTCACTTTCCATTTCTATTCCTCCCATTCATGTTACTGAATGTCCATACCATTGTATGGCTATTGATGGGAGGAATAGTCTTCAGGAGCCAGAGCTGCAAACGACTAATCATGGTTGCAATGTTTTACTGGCTCCAATGAAAAGAAATAATGAATGCACATTTTGTCTTTGATAAGGAAGTCTGAATTTTTTATTTCTTTCTCAAAAATAAAATTTCACCTTTAACCCTTTTGCTGCCGCCAACGTATGTCGCACGTCCCTGGCAGCGGGCCCCCATGAACAGACTCCCGGTAGTTATAGCTGTCGACCGTCAGCTTTACACTGGAAGTGATTGTGGCAGCTGAGCTGCCGCCAGATTACTTCCAGCGGCCGGTGAACAGTGCCTCCCCCTGCCTGACACGCCTGTCTTGCTTCCTGAGCTCCGCTGCCCCTCCCATCACGGACAGGGCTGGATTTCCCACAAGGCCAACCAAGACCCGGCCTTGGGGCAGCAGGGAGTAGAGGGGCAGCAGGTGTGTGGAACTCCTATCTCCCGATTCCCGGGACATGCAGTTCCGGGTGCTGGGCAGGTAGTTGTTTTCTACATTAGCCCTGTATGCCTGTATGCAGCCTGCAGATCTGCCATTCTCCATGGGGGGGGGGGTAGGGGGGCGCATTGAGAAACCTGGCTTTTGGGCAGCAGAGAGAGTAAATCCGGCCCTGGTCACGGATGTCGGCAGGTGGAGTGGAGAGAAACTAGAGAACATCCATTCACCAATCACCTCCCTGCTAATGGAGTTGGAAGTATTGCTGATTAAATCACTTCAGTCCTTTAGCTGCTGAAGCTATTCCAGGACGATCTGCACTTGGATAGCTTCTCCGCAGTGGTAAGGTGACACTAGGGGTTCCAGAGGGGTAATTGGGGAGTGTGTTGGGGGTATGTACTTACCAATCACCCTGAACACAGTCTATGCCTGTACTGCACACACTCATTATTGGGATATAGGAGGAGAGGGATTGGTGTTTTTGTAATCTACTTGTTAACTGAAATGGATTCCTCCTGTGTGGATTCTGGAATTTATTCTGATTGTATACATTATAATTAGACATTC